CTTCATATTAGTGACAAACAATAACAGTAACAACAGCTTTTTGACAAAATATTTAAAAATAAACTACAAAAAGTAATTTAAAGTTCAAATTAAAATATAGCTATATCTGCAACTGTATTTGATAATATTTTGAACTTTTAAAATATAGCATGGTAGAACCAGAGGCTGCACTTCATATTAGTAACAAACTTTGGCTTTTTTTGATGGATTACCTTCATTTTTGTCTACTTTTCATTTACATAAATTTCCATTCTCGGCAGGTTTCTAAGGTTATTCTTTTACGTATTAAAAAAGCTGTCAAACATCTGAGTGGCGCACTATCACTACTAGTGATGAGAAAGTGTATTGCACTTTATTCAAAATCAATGCAGCCCCGTGGCCCTCTGTGGCCTAAAGTTAAAGGTTTTTCTTTTGAGGCCCTCAAGGTGGTGCTCGCGGCCCATGGGTTAAGAATCTAATCTAAATGATTCTCTCAGGCAAATGAAATTATATTAGTAAAATGTGTTTTTTTAATATATATTTAAATGAGTTATTTCCCATGAAAGAGAAAAATCTTGTTACAAAAATGCAACATTAAGCTAACAGAATACTTGTTATAATTGCAGCCATTTAGTATATCCTGTTATATCAAATTTACCAGTCTCATGCTCAGTCTGTGTTGAAACAGTCTGATGTGTTTTTTTAGGTTTGATGCAGACGACAGGAGTTAGAAAGGCAACTCTGCTCAGTTTAGTGCTGTAGTTGATTATTTATCTGCTGCAGATGTGAGCTCCACTGCTAAGAGTAGTTTAGTAGTAGTGGTTTGATTTCAGTCTTAAAGCTATTGATTTTGAGAATATATGGCTTAAAAGCTGCTGTTCAAAAAGACGAAGAAGTTTGTCATAAAGTGGCTGACTGACATAATTTAACATCAGCTGTAAAAATCCCCTGACTTTCCCTGCGCAGGACAATAAAGGCTGTTTCTGTTCTAATCTATTCTAAAATGTTTCATTTTACAGTGAGATTGAGTTGTAAGCAGGTGACTTATTCTGGGCTTCTATCTTCTGTACTCAGACAGAAAATTAATTAAACCATTTTCAAGTGTGGTTTGATCCCTTCTGTTTGCTTTGCAGGATCAGTGTGAACACAACTTTAAAGAAGCCATGAAATTGGAGGCTGTCAACCCGCTATCACCCGAGAATATTCACGTGGCCACAGTTACAAAGGTCAAAGGGCAATATATTTGGCTTAGCCTGGAAGGTGAGCTGGAGTCATGAAAGCATGGGATAGGAGCTCTGCTTACACTGAGCTGTTCTTTACTGAAACTGTAACATTTTTGTTGCCATTCAGCTGCTCTTTTTTTACACATTACCAGTGATCAGAGTCTCACTCTTTGAAACCATAGCTGTGTCTCAATTCACGGGCTGCATCCTCATGAGTGCGCATTTGTCGGTCGCGTACGTCACTGCCCTGTGCCGAGTGCTGTCCCAATTCGAAGGCTCCTCATCATGCGGCCAAGGAATGTGGCTGAGGAGGAATCTGTACTTGTAGTAGGATTTTATTTTGACACCGCATTGCATCGCATGAAGAGGAGCCTTCGAATTGGGACAGCACTCGGAGTGGAGCATTGACGTATGCGGCTGACAAATGTGCAGTCATGAGGATGCAGCCCATGAATTGAGACGCAGCACACATCTCTGAGTTGAACCTTTCAGGAGCACCCCCTGCAGAGGTGTGAAGTACTACGTAGGTGTGAAAGTGCACACAGGCGCCTACAGGCAAAAGTTTCTTCTGAACTAAAAGCAATGCAGGAAATTGCAGACAGAAGAGGGTTTTTGTATTACTCACCTTTTGCAGCAATGTAGGAGCATAACCAACAACATCCTTGGTCTGAAGGAACGTTTGTTTATTTGTGATTGTTCATGCTGACACTGAATGACCTTTGCACGAGTGAGACGGCATCAGGGTTGCCAGATAAATAGAAAATACCCTTTAACCCCTTTTCTGTGCACATTTTCACTAAACACAAGGCTGGCCGCAAACACAAGACTGGGCAGTAAATCAATATCTACTGTGATAAACAATATAAAATACGTCCGGTGGAATATTGATAATTTCACTGAACTCTGATCCAGAACCACGTGACATTCTGCGGGATGTAGGCAGAGAAAAATCTTTAGCCACTTGACCTCTCACGGCCCAACTAAAGGCCCTGTCACACTAACATTTTAGACAACTTGTGAAAAKCAACTGGAAACCTCTTTTGGACGTGTACATACTACAATGTTAATGATTAGTTCAAATATATAACTTATATGAGGTATTTAGTCATAGAAAATGTTCATAAATTGGCATAAGTTGTGTAAACCCTCAGTGCGACAGGCTTGGTGGCATCAACAAACTCACTCACTCATTAAGTAAATGAAAGTGGAGTGAAAGGAGAAGAAGAGGTCACATCACCAGTTTGGCAGTATTAATCAGTCTTTTTTCTCCTGGTCTTTATTTCAAAAAGGTCAAACAAAAACTAATAATTATCAGTATTGACTGATAAGAAATGCTTATCTCATGATGCAGTTTTCAGCCATATCACTCAGACCTACACATATCTTACCTTACAACAGCCTCATTAAGCACATATGACAGTTTAGGTCAAAATACAATCATTTTAAAGTGACATCACCATGTTCCACCTGGCAACGCTTTCTATTACGGAAACTACAGCAGGTCCAAAAGAGTGATTTATTTATATTTTGGTTTGTTTTCCCCTGTAGATATTAAAAAAACATTAACATATTAAGAGTCCGGTCTTGTGTAGACAGGGCCTTAGTTTAGCTAATAGAAAAAAGATCAAAGCTTGATTTTTCTCCTTTCTACACAGTCGAGCCGAAAGTAACCTGAACGTTTTTGCACCTTTTCTTTATTAGGATGCAGGAATCAGATGGAAAAGGTTCGAAATTGATAGCTTTAGATCTAACGTTTCGAAATTGTCACCATTTTAAAAATTGCCTGCAGCAACTTCTAAAGAGACCGAAATTTGTTCACATTATTATGAAAAAAAAAACACATTCATAATTCAACAGCTAAAATTACAGCAAAAAATACTCTTGGTTGAGATAAAAACAGTAAATATTTTGTTCACTGATGCAGTTTAATCCATATTTTTAAAGTTTGCTTCAGCATGATGCTGATCTACATATTTTACCATGTGTTCTAGTTTGCAACCTGGTAAAATGAATTATAAAGTTAACCAGTAAGCACCGCCTATCAATTGGTGAATCACCCTTTTGAAGCCTCTTGATTGTAATTTGGCTGTTCTCAAATTTGTTACAGAAAAGGATTCGAGTGATCTTTGCAAAACAACTGGGTATCAGTCAATGAGAGTAGGCCTGGGAGATAATCTGAAATATATCCGACACCGATATTTATGACAATAACCGACATCTTTTTGCCCATGTCGATATTTTCTGTATTTACAAAATGAGGAAAGKAGAAACCTTGTAAGACCTCATTTTGTAATAACACATTATGTAATAATGTAATAAAATCAGGCTTCAAAATGTAATAAACTCGCGCTAAAACCGCAGTATATAATAATTGACACAAAATGTAATAAAAGTCTTCAACATATTTTGTAATACTTGCAGCCGCATTATGTAATAACGTTATTACATTTTGCGGCAATTGTTACAAAATTTGGTGGTGTAATAATCTGGTGCATTATGTAATAAACAGTCAAAAACCTGTATTTCTGTTCATCCTAATCAGTATACTTGTAATAACTGTCATGTTGCAAACACTACATAATTAAATCTTTATAACTTTGGTCAATCCTGGTACAAAGATGAGTCCGTTTAGAGTTACCACCCCAAATGAAAAAAAAACAAAAAACAAAAAAACGCTATGTTCTTTTTGTAGTTTTTCATAAATATCTACAAATTTCATTCTTCACAATTCTTTGCTTGTATTTAGAACCATGCTGTGACTGAACTGCACTGTGATTCAATAAATGATCAAATATGAAGAATAAATAATATTAAACGATTTCTTGAACTCTCTAAATTATATAATCTTTTTGAAAAAAAAATAGTTATTTTAACCTCTTAAGCCCCAAGGGGTTTTCTTGAAGTTCTAACTGTGTCTGGTGGACGTGAAAATGTTTTTATGAGTTTTTAGCCAAGATCCAGATGTTTCTATAGATACCACACATGTTTATGTTTAACTAAGAGAACAGAGTTCTCTGCTAAGACTGAATAAAACGCATCTTAACAGTTTACCCCTATCCCCACCAAGTTACAACTCAGGAAGTCTTGCCAATAAATAACAGAAAGAAACAGGCTACTTTTTGCTAAAGATGCTGGAATATTTTCAGTTCTGTAGTCAGCTTGCAGTATTTTCCACCCAGGATGTTTAAGCGTGTGATAATTGAGCTTACRTTCTTGTTACCATGGCTTGTGGACATTGAAAGAGATTGTTTAGTCTCCATGTGTTTTGGTTTCATAGGTCTGAAGCAGCCAATGCCGGAGCTGRTGGTCCATGTGGATTCTCTGGACATCTTTCCCGTCAGCTGGTGTGAAACAAACGGCTATCCGCTGGTCTACCCCATCAAGCTCTCAGGTACGCAACACGAGACAGCACATTAAATGTGCTTTAGATCAAGACACTTCGATGAGAATAGTACTAAAACACATTTAAATATACATTTAAATTATCCTGACTTCAGAGTTATTGTTTTTCAGTTGAAAAAGAAAGAAAAATAGCTGTTGTGCAGCCAGAGAAACAGTGAGTACAACAGAGTGTTGTTTGGTGTACTGTTTCAATTTAATCAGTCAAAACAGCCTTTCAGCTTCTCAATTTTTTTTTTTCAATTTTACAGCAGAACTCCACCAAAGTCTTCATCACCTGATGCAGTCAAACAGCAGATGGCAAACCAGTCTGAAACAGGTGAGCATGTTGGAGGAATTAAAGCTGTGGTGGAAATCTGTGACCTGGCTGAGAGTGCTGTCGGTTGTTGTATTATTCTGTGTATATACATGCATTTTATTATATAATTTTTTGTTTGTTGTATGCAGGCCAGGGCAATGGAAAATACTGCTGTCCCAAGATCTATTTCAACCACAGGTGCTTCTCAGGTCCTTATCTTAACAAAGGGCGCATTGCTGAGCTTCCCCAGTTCATCGGCCCTGGAAACTGTGTCCTTGTTCTGAAAGAGGTGAGGAGTGAGGAGGGATGTTCAGCTGTGTGTTTGATGAAAATATACAATTTGTAATCTCCAATATTGCACTCATGTTTCTGCCTGTCAAAGTCCATCGTTAAAACCTGAAGAGAGGCGTCCTGAAAACTATTTTTCAGTTTCCAGTCATGGTCCGAGGAAGCTGTTAACTTATTGTTTAATAGAAAAAAAAGTTAAACTTCAAATAGTGAGATCACACAATATACTAAGATAATTTGGTTTTACTAAATCTGTTTTACTTTGAAAAGTAGAAAATGATTTTGCAGTTCTTGTCCTTCCATGGTTCAAATTACTGTGTGTGTGTGTGTGTGTGTGTGTGTGTGTGATAAATGGGACACGGGATAAAGTCTTCTGTCAGTTTTATCATGAATTGAGTTTTAAGTTCGTGCTGACCACTATATTCCATCCACAAATAGACACAGAGTAGGTAATGAATAAACATTCAATTTGTCATTTKTCAGTTTTTGATTTGTTTAGCTAACTTACTCACCTTAAGATGCATTTTTTTTCTTCAGAACATTAAAATCAGCTCGGCCTTCAACTTAAACACGTTTTTTCTTACACGACACTTRTAACAACTGTAGTGTATATTTTACAGCATATATTTCCTATGAAAATATGCTATGAATTTATGGTATTCATTAGCACTTGTTAAATTTGAAAATCAAATTGTAATTAACTGATGGTAAACATGAAATTAAAACAAATATATTCATCAGCAGACTGAAGTACATGTCTGTAAAAGTCAACGTCTCACTCRTCTCTGATGGTCACTGTGCAATTCATACCCTGCATCATGATGTGCAGAAAAGGAAGCACTTTAAGAGGAACTACTCTTCCACATCAGATATTTTTGTTTTAATTTGTAGTTTAAACGCTTCAGCCTACCAGCTTAGAATCATTGTAACTAATGACATCAAGTACCYACTTGTAGCCTGCAAAAACTAATTTCTGACCTGTTTTACTGTATTTTTGTGCTGTGAAAATTGGTAAATGTTGATGTTAGGGTTGTGTGTTGGCAAGAATTTGGTGATATGATACGATATACTGTATATTGCGATACTATAAGCAAGGCATTATATTCCCATTTTTTCTCCAAAAATTCTAATTAAAACAAAAAAAATCATATTTTATATGTATTTTATTTGGTTCATATTTCTTTTTTCATCCATGTTTTCAATGGTTAGGCCAAATGTGTGATTAAATAGTTTGATGATATACAGTATGTGTGGCAGCCTCTACATTTATATTCATTTATTATAAAAACATGGTCAGCCACCACACTAACAATAGCCTATATTTTGTGCTGAAGTTCAGTAAATGGGTCAAATGAAGCTGCYACAGTCTGTGTTACAGTCACAGGGCTCCTTTTACTTAAAGATGGAGCACAAGTATGACTGTCATTTTWACAGCTGGTTCGGATGTTATCAGTCCATTAAATGGRCGTTATTAGCGRTTATCAGTCCCATAGAATGGCTTCAGACTGYCCCGRCAGTGCCCCCTAGTGGGTTACCAGTGCCATATAYATTGGAATTCAACAATCTGCTACMGCYGGAGTTSGATCTACTTTATCGTAGCCCATGTCATTTTCTCTAAAATTAACCTTAGTGGCTTTATGCCTCATACTAACGAGCTGACAGTCTGAAGCCATTCTATGGGACTGATAACAGCTAATAACGTCCATTTAATGGATAATAACATCCGAAGCGGGTGCATTTTAATAAGCTCAGTGTTTTAAATGGCTGTTAGAATGGAATAGAATAGAATAGAATAGAATAGAATAGAATAGAATAGAATAGAATAGAATAGAATAGAATAGCTTTTATTGTCACGATACATACGTTTGTACAATGATATTAAAAACTACTCCTTTTCCAGTGCAAACATTTATAAATATAAAATCACTATAACACTATGAAAAGTAAACTAATAAAAATAAAAAGTGCAAAAGAATTTGCCTCTGGTGTAATATACATGGTTGTTATTGCACATTATGTATATTGGTCAGTGGGAATGGTGATATTAGCGGTATTTAACAGAATGCAGTATACCGATATTGCACAATAGAGTAGTAAAGTAATTCTCAGTGTTGTCAGTAGTAATGTACTGTATATTATGTGGGTGAGAAGTCCAGGGGGGTTGGGAGATGACATTAGGAAGTCAATGTGTATGTGAGTTAAGTGTGGTAATGGCTTTCAGAGAAAAAAAGACTGCATTTGGCCACTTCAGTATCGGCCCTCTGGGAGCCCRTTCAGTTCGGGCTGCTAGACAAATGCTACCGGCTAATATGGGATATTAGGCAACATTAAAGGCAGCAGATCTCATTCTAATCTTTTCAAATTCAGCCATCGGTACTTAGCACTAATGTTTACTCAGTTGCTAACATTTGAGCTAGCATTATACTCTGTTTCTGGCAGAAAGTTTACCTTTTAAGCCTTAATTAAAAGTCAATACGGTGCTTTAGGGAATCAATACAATATTGGGAAATGAAATAGAGATATTTTAGTGTATCAATGTTTTCTTACACCCCTAGTTGGCAAGGCAAACAGAAATTTATGCTAGTTAGCTAAACAGCATAAAAACTGCTTTTGCTTTCATAACTAAAATAATATCTGTAAACCTTTTTATTATAGTTGAATTGGTGTTATATAGCTTTAAAACTAAAAAGAAAAAGTTGTAGCAAAATGTAGACACTAAAGTTACAGGCAGCCTTAAGCAGTTGATATGAGGAAACATTTGAAGGGTTTTTGGTATTAACACACAATAAACATCAATTTGTTG